TGTCCCACCACTGTTTCTGAGATTTCCTGAATTTATTTGTTTGCTCTTTATTACGTAAGGAATGATTTCTGCCTGTTTGAATATATTTCTGTGGGGAGTGCTGACATTCTTATCCACACTTCACTTGTCATTTCTAGGCCAGACGGTTAATATGATTTCCTACTATGAGCTACTTACTGCGTACAGTTTTAACATGTGTTGCAGAGAAGCAGTATATTAAAGTGCAGAAATGGCTTATGAAAGAGATGGATATTAGGCGAGAGTCGTTGGGTTCTCTTAGGTAAAGTCAGTTAATGTGCAGCATAAATACGTTCCTGATAGTGGTAAAAGGAAATACTAGTGGACTTCATATTCTGATCCCATCCTTCTCACATGAATATAGGAAAAAATGTTTTTACGTTTGTGGATAATACCAAAAGAGGAGCGGCTGCAAGCCTGCAAAGGAGGGATTAGCATTCCAAATGGTGAACTGGAAAACACAGAGGACTAATCAACAGCATCTGGACAGGACCACGATCTTTTCTCTGGGAAAAGGCTGAGGGCTGTAATGGTTCCCAAGCTGGGTTTTTGTCAACACGGTGGTGATTTGGCACAGAAAGCCAAGGTTATGCCGGGAGGCAAAGCCGGGTGTGTCGCCCTCGAGATGGAAGAGTTAATTGCTCTGCTGAGCTCAGTGCAGGACACTGCCGTAGAGAAAGGTGTGGGCTAACGTTAGAAAATCAAGAGGGGAGTCACATAAGTATGTAGAGGTCTAGAAAATAGTTATGAGGAAATACTGGAAGAAATTCAGGTTGTTTAACCTAAAGAAGACTAAGGGAGAACATGATCAGTACCTTTAAATACATTAAGTGCTCTGCAGAAGTGAAGGGAATCATTTATTCTCTTATCCTTCGCAGGCAGAATGAGAAGTAGCGGGCTTGAGGTACGACATGAAGATAAAGGTTAGATGTGAAGAGAAATGTTCTGATAATAAGGACAGATTTCTTGGGGACACTGTAGAGACTCCGTTACTGAGTATCTTCAAGAACAGCATAGACAAATATGAGGGAAGATATTGGTGCACAGAACCCTACCTGGGATACAAGGCATGGAATAAGTAACCTTTCATCATCCCTTCCTAGCCTATTTTTCTTTGATTAAACCTGAATTAAGAAAGGAAAAGCCCTGGGCTGGGCAAGTGATCTCAAATGTAAAACATAATAGAATAACCTTGAGCTTGGTCAGGGAAAGTGTTGCGTAGTTGTGGCTGCTCTCACTGACCTCATCCACAGCAGAAACAAAGTAGGATTTCAAGGATGGGGCCATAAGCACTGAATTTATATTAACTTTTAATATTGCTGAATTATTGTCGCATTGGCGAGGTCTTGTCTTCGCCGTGACTCCTACCCTGGCTGTTATGAAACTTTACATTACATTTTGTGTAGGACCTTTCTGGGAATTTTCAGCCTCTGATAAAACCTGAGCCAAAAGGGTTTTTTCAGTGGGTTTCCATTTTAAAACTGTTCAGATTTCTTTCCCACAATGGTATTTACTTGCCTTTTGGCTTTTTAGGCAATGTCCCAATCAGTCACTACAGGTAGTGGTTGAATTTATGGATATGTCCTTCAACACACAAGTTTGAAGTGTGAAGAGTTGGTATGTACAATGTCAACCTACAATTGCTGAGATAATTTAGCCTAAAAAACTGCAAAGGAATAAGATTTCCTAGAGAGCGATATTTCAGAGCTACTGAATGACTTGGTATTTTTTTCATATTTGGGGATGACCCAAATGAAATTACTGGAAGAGAGAAAAAAGAAGAGGCTTCTGTGATGAACAGATTACAATACAAGTTAGAGATCTTAGCAACAAAAAGCTTGTATGCTTTTACAGAAAAAAAAAAAAAAAATTATTAAAATCCCAGAAGTTCTTGACATTAAAAACTTTCAACAAAAGGATTGCATCTTTCTGTGAAAAAAAAAAATCACTATAAAAATTCACTGGTTGGTTGGTTTGTTTTCATCAGCATTTCTCCCAGTTTGTCTCACATTACCACTAGAGTCTGTCTTTGCTGTACTGCTCTTTTCGGGAGCATAGATAAACCCTTCTCTCCTTGGTGTGCTCAAAAGTGTATTTGCTACTTTTTCCTGAGCCTTTTTCCTTTTTTTTTTACAAGTGATCTTTATCCTAATGAAAAAGAGGAGGTTATCAGTACTGCAGCGTGAAATGACTTTACCTAGGCAAAAGCATAGGCGGCGGCAGCGTGAGTTTTTTTCTATCCCAGGGCTCTTGTTTCTTCTTCTTCGCTGGGTCAATCCATGTCTGCATCTCTCTGTCAAGAGTTGGCCTGATGCATCCATTTACCCCACATAAGCCTACAAATAGTGATCAGATAGGAGGAGCATCTGGTCCTTGCCTCTGTAGGAGGTATGTAAGCTGAGAATTCAAAGGTAGAAGACTGTATATTGTAAAACTCTCGTCTGGCTCGTTCTGCAGGGAATACTTTTTCATACTGCATGTATTCAACCTGGAAAATTTAGAGTTCCAGGAGGTCACTGAGGCAGATAATCTAGACAGGGTATTTAAGGCATGCATAATTTTATAAGTATCAAAAAATTGTGTTGTGGACAAATATTTGGAAGAGAATATTTTTTCTGTCCTCATAGATACAAAACACCTAATGCTATGAGCAGGTCTGGGGGAAAAACTGTAACTGCTAAATTAAAAAAAAATAGGAAGATAGACATACTGGCTTTCTCCTGTCCTAAGTTTCCTGTGTTCTCTCTCTCATAATACAAGAAGACACTCCAGACACCACATTTCTGGGGATTACCTTTCTTGGAGTTGAAGCCTTTGGCCTCATTCTTTTCCTCACAGTTAGAGTGCTCATAAGCCCCTGGAAAGACACTGTCTGTCATGTCTTGTTGCTTAAATATTGTGATCGAGCCTGTGAATAATCTCAAACTGCCTTGACATGTTCATAATAGCTTTTGTTCTACTTCTGGACCCATCCATTTCCATTCCTTAAAGTCCCCCAGCACGTCCAGCTTGGACGTGGTATGTGATGGCTTGACCAGAGATGCTATGGGAAAATCAGACCGATACCTTTAACTTTTGTGGACGGCGACAATGGTTTGGAAAGTGAAAATGACCCCTCAGTGGCAAACGATGTTGTTAGACCTTTTTCTCCCCAGCTTGCTGGTTTTTTCACCCTTTGGTGAAAGTTGTTGAGAAGTGGTCAGCTGAACCGGTGGTACCCTGCAGAGTGACGTGTTCATGTAGGGCTTCTTCAGCTGCGCTGTGTGCAGTGAAGGCTGCGTTAACACCAGATGCCAATCATACACCACCGGTGGATTTGCAAGATTATAGGACAGGAAAAAAGATGAAGGTTAAGCACAGGGCACAATAGAGATTACTTATGGTAATGAATTGTATAATTTTTCTAGACAGATCTGGATTAATGTTTATCCCAGGCAAGAGATTACTGTATGTCTGATTCTAGTTGTAAACAGACATTATTAAACAGAAGGTTTATGTTCATGAAATGCGACTACGGGTGTTAAAGCACTTATGATTTATTATGTGCAAAGAGAAAAATTAACCTGTTCATCTGCTATAGTACGAGATGCACTGTGGATTTTTGCATAATTTGGAAGGCATCTGCTCCTTTGGAATACAAATAACCAGTGAAATGAGAAGGATTCTCCTCTCATTTACGCTGATCCTATGCCCTACACTGCAGAGGAGCCGAAGTGGTGTAACCAGCAAAAGAATAGTCTTGTGTGCTTTTATAAAGCAACAATATTTCTGTGAGAGATAATGTTGACAAAGTCTATTTGCTTGTGAATCTTTAGGGTATTTTCTTTACAATTAAAAAAAATGTTAATGTTCAGAGAGCTTAACAAATTACCTTATCTGGGTTTTCCAAATAATTCCCTTTCACTAATTGAAAACATAATGTTTAGAGATGTTGAATTTAAAAAATAAATTTTTTAATCCATTTTTCATGTAATTTGTGTTGCGGCCAATTTTTCTCCTGCTTTGTTGCATCACTGCTGCTTAGCGCAAGTGAGACATAGGTACAACATCCACATTTTTTAATACTGCCTTACCTCAGTAGCTAAATAATCACACCTGAGTCAGTGACTTCTGTGTTTTGGGTGAGCTGAAAAATCTCCCTTAAGGAAACTGTAAACAAACTCCAAAACTTTCCTTCTTTGATCGAGTATTTTCAACTTTATTACTTTCAACTTTATTACTTGCTAACAAGGAAGTATCTTTTCTCTGTGAAAGCAAAGAAAAATTACGGTTATCAAAATCTGTTCATTCTGTTTACGGGCTGTATTTGTAGCCAGCTGATTTTTGCATAATGCCATTTGAAATTATCCATTTAACAATGACGGATGATACAACTGCAATGCTTTCCCTCCACTTTGTAACTGATCCGTCTACTTATAGATTGCATTGGACATGTTGCTGATGCTTTATTTGTAAAATTCACTCACATACGTGAGAAATTTGTCTGTTGAGTCTTACTGACTTTAGAGAGGTTTCTCAGATAAGTGAAGATATTCCTGTATATAACCAAAACCTGCCCAATCTGTAAAAAACAGGAATGTGGAGCGAAAAGGCCTGGGAATATTATGAGGTGTAAGTGAGTTAGAATTTAAGCAGTTAAACCAGGACTGAATAAAACGTAATCTGGTAAGATGTTCTGAATGCTTCCATTAAAAAAGTTGCAGTCTTAAATTGCCATCAAAACACTTCATATTGCTTTTTTATATTTCTTAACTATATTTTACATTTGATACAAAAATATATATTATCTCCTGAGAAAAATTTAACTTTAACATTCGTAATATTTTGCCTAATTATCAAATTTTACAACAGCTGTGAGTCCAGAGTTAAAGTTTGTCAACAAATTAATTAACCAGTAGAAGCTTCTGTGGGCTTTATTAATGGTTCAGTGTAGCATCTGAAGGCGATGGGAACTCCTGGAGGTACCCGGGATGCGGGTGAGAGTCCTGAAGGAAGCCGGGGTCAGCTGAACTGCGCTGCTTAAAAGTTTGTGCAGCGAAGCATTGTATTTTGGGAGGCACTAAAATATACGTGGCGCTCTTTTCTTTGCTGTGTGTTGGCAGGCATCTATAAGTCATGAAGATGACCTCCATCTTCCAAAGAGAAGGAAAGCTAGAAATGAAGACACATTTCTGTTATCAGTCTGCTGTGGGTCGTAAGTTGAACTGGTGTTATATTTTCCTCTGAAAGCCGCGTAGCCTTGACACGGCGTTTAACAGTGTTAAGCTTATTGCTGCTGAGCTAAACATGTCTGAAGCGAACGATGACCCTCACGTCTTTGCGATAGCAAAATGTCTCCCTGATGTGATCCTGCAGACTTGGAGCATTAAGTTAATTTTCCCCTGGATTTCTGAGCTGCCTCTTTTTTACCCGGCGGAGAGCTTGTGAAGAATACAGCTTCTGACCGAATGACAGAACGTGGAGGGTGAAATTAGATGCATTCAATTAGAAGATGACAAAAAGCCTATCTAAATATTTGTCAGGGTGCTACTTACAGGATGTAGTGTCCAGCCTGGGAAGTGAAAGGAGGCCGCTCTCGGGACTTAATAGTCTGGAAGGGGGGGAAAATGGGTAAATCATCCAGATTCTTTATGGGCTTGGAGAGGATAATTGAGGGTATCGAGTGGGCTGTTACGCTTCCAGGGCTGGTGATCCCTCTCGTGTAATCTCAGATTAGTTCTTTTCTTGTATTTGCTTAATACAGAATTAACCGTTACAAAGTTTTCTGGACCACTCGAGTAAATAGTGTTGTTATTTGACTGCTAGAGGATGGATAATGCAGTGGTTTATAGGAGGTATTGAAAAAAGAGGCACTCCACCTTCTCCACAATAAAAAAAAAAACCACCACAAACCAAACAAACAAAACCCCAAAATCACAAACCCCAAAGAAATGAAAAAGCCAGGGCAAATGTGTCGGCTGTGAGGGTGTCGGGTTTGGACCAGAAGGTTTACTGGTTTTCCAGAGGACAAAAGGATGTTCTTGAAAGCTCACATAGTCAGTAGTCAGTTAAACAGAAAGAGAACGAGATATGCAACTCGGTTTGGCCACATCTGTTTATCTGTAAATTACATTTATAGCAACTTTTTAAAGTAAGAGATCAAATCCCTTGTAATTTCCAGCTCAGAAAGTTTTAATTACAAAAATAAAAATTTTAAATGCAGCTTATTATGTTGATCTTTTTTTCATTTCTGTTACAGCGGTTCAAGGGAGAATGTGACTATGATAGGGTTAATCCAGCTACATAAAAATCCATGCTGTGTATGATAGTAGTAAAGCTTGTGATCCCTTGATCTTTGATTAGATCCAAGCTAGTAAATATCTTGTGTTTAATCAGAATGAGTTGTTCTGCATGTAGTATAAGTCACCTTCACAGATGGGATGTAGCAGCAGAGTTGTTCATGAATATTTGTTTTAATCCTTTCCAGAGCAAGCACGCTTTATGTTTCTTTGTTGTAAATCAGATTCAAGCAACTAAAGACCAGCACGAAGGAAAGACATTTACTTGCAGTCAGGAATAGGACAGTGTGGGAATCTTTTTTCCTTTTTAAAGGAAAATGTAACTCACTAGATTCTTAAAAGGTATTTTATACTATTCCATAAACATAACTAACACACCGTGGCTGCTTTTTTAGACTGGGACGCAAATATCATTATCTAGAATTTCATCTTAAACTGTTCATACATGTTCCTAGCTTAGGAGACTATAAATATACGGAGACTAAGATTTATTATGGTAAATATGCAGCCTCTATTATTATTCTGTATTTCAAAGATATTTAGTTAGAATGGTAGCTGGTCTGTGTGCTGGTAAACTGAAATTCTTAAAACGTTATCTGTAAGGCTAGTTGTTTTGTGTGGTTTGTCGGCATCCTATCTACCTAAATCTGTCATAATTGCCTTCCGATACATCTTCCTCTGACACGCCAAATATTGAAAATGAGAGGACTCTTTGCTGGGAGATTTTCTACCGAATGTCATTTTTCTGTGTTCGTAACTTGATGGTAATAACTGGACGACCTGTAGTTAAATGCATCTCAATTTCTCTCACTTATTTTTCCTAATCACCACACAGAGCCTTCTGTGCTCAGAGGTGTGATTAGATTTAACCTGCCATCATATCTGAAGAACTTTCTGTACAACATATTATACATTGCAAGAATTATATCTGTAGATGGTGGGTCTAAGTGGAATATATAAATAGATATAGAGGTGAGTTGCTCTCATGCCAAAGTTAATTCCTGATTTTTTTTTTTTTCTGTTTTTCACAGGAAGACTGGAGAGCCCCCACTAATAAATGGCTGGATTCCTTACCTTGGGAAGGCTTTGATTTTTAGAAAAGATGCTTTCAAATTCTTACTGGATCAGCAAAAGAAACTTGGAGATATTTTCACTGTACATATTGCCGGTGAGAAATATTTTAGTATTTCTCTTGATTTTTTTCCATCAGTGAAGTTAAACACTAATTCAAATGTTTAGTTTAGAATCTTCCTTAACCAAAAACATTTTTGTGTAGCATAGGCCAATAAAAATTACTTAAATTCACATATATTGTATGCATAATAAGTATCCATAGGATATAATTATGAGCATGTGGATTTATATACAACTATAGGTATATATGCATATTGACAGAATTTGTAGGCATGTAATGTATGAACATAGCTTTTGCCAGCACATTTAATTGTGGGGTTTTTTTCCTAAAGAAGGGAGAACTAACATCATCTTGACACCGCACAGAAAAAAATCAGATTAAATTTAGAAAACACTTAAGAAAAAAAGTGCAGAATATGTTCTCACACATTTTACAACTGGTTGACAGGAACACAAGGGAATGAATGACACATTGACTCAGTGATACAATCAGGACTGGAACACAGAAACTTCCCGTTGCCAGCCTCTTACTCTGATCATGCTTACTGAAAATAACAATATAATAAAGTATGATATAACCTTGCTGCTTTCTGTATTTATAGCTGTATTACTACACAAGCTCGAATACAAACATTTGAGTGAATTCACGTAGACACTTAGCTGTAGAACAAAAACATAGAATGAAACTGGAATCTTGAATGAAACTTAAATATATAAATTTACATATATATATATACACACAGATGTAGTTTTTACTAAAATCAATTTAAAATTCAGTATTTTCCTCTGTTCAGAAAAAGGCGAACTCTTATTAGTGTAGGTGGATGTAATGGATCTTTTGCCCCTTTACATGCTGATATCCTTGTTCAAATGATCAACTTTAGAGTTAAGCCTATCTCATTTTTAGCTATTCCTGTATTTTTACGGAGTTTCAAATAAAAATGTAAAGTGTAAAGTATAAAGTTTGCTTTGCAATTTCATGGCAGTAGCATTAGCTTTATATTTCCATATAAGTAGTATTTTGCAACAATTTTTTTTTCTTCAAAAGTCAATTAATTAAATTGCAAGCCGTATGTTTAATTAATAAAATTTTTCTTCCTGTTACCGAATCTGTTCTTTTTTTTCCTTTGGAAGAGCATTTTTACTGCTATTAAATGTGTGATTTTTTTATTCATTCAGGGTTTTTTCTTTGGAAACTGGTACGCTCAGATTTTTTTCCATCTTGAAAGTGAGTTTGACACAAGACCAACTTTTGTTGAAATGCAGTCTTTTTTATTGTTAATGTACATTCATACTATATACAGTTGTGGCTTCTTACAAATACAGATTAATAATTATAATTCAGAGACTACCTTAGTACATTCATAAAACCAGATGCAGTCCTACTTCAGAATCCTTAATGTGTTTAATCGAATATTTATTTCTCTTTCACCTCTTTATTATTTTATGCAAGACTATGTTTAGAGGTTTGTGTATTTAAGCAATCTATGAGTGTAATTTAGTTTCACAAATTTCTATTTGCATGGTAAACAAAATTCCATTTCAACTTATCTCCCTGTGTTCAGGTATTTTGAGGAAACCTTCCTTGACAGAGGCTGAGGTAGATGGAGTGAGTTCTGGATATCATTTCAGCCTTATGCCGGGAAATCTTTGATTTTGTGAATTTGTCATGTCAGAGATACCACTTTAAGTTCTCTTTTTTGGTATAAAAATACTGACCGTCAAGAATTCACTAAGGAGAAACAGTTTGTCATCCACAAGTCAAGGAAGAAGCCAAAGCTAGTTAGTACCTCCTATCATGTCCTGATCCGAAGACGTACGGGATTTCTATATGTCTTACTGATTTGACAAAGATGAATGTTTATATGTTCGGCAAACATAGCGTAGCCTGCTGTATATGGACTATCATTACTTTACCCCTGGTGGGTGTCTAAAGGTCCTGTCAAAAAATTCAAACAATATATATTGTTCTAATTATTGGTTCTCAAACTAGTTCATTTGGAAAATGCGGAACGATGCTTGGAGTTTCTGGCGTTGCCCCGTACCGGTAATGCGATTTCGCTGATTGTACTTTCCCATGTGATGAGCAAATGATTGTCATCCCTAAGAGTCGCAAGGGACATGGATGTCATCTTAATAAAGAAATTAAAAAGCACATCTTTCTATGAGAAACAATGTAAATTCCTGACCTGTCGCAGAAAATAGTTCTCTAATTGGTTTTGTGTGGTGGTGCAGCAGAATCGTTTTCCCCAAACGTCACGCTGGCGAAGCACCACTGTACATCATTGTCAGCAGTTCAGCAGAATCTCCCTAATAAGAGGACGATTACGTAAATGCGATAGTCTTGGGGGGGGGGGGGGGGGGGGGGGGAAAAGAAGAGAAAAGAATGTTTGGGGGGGGGGGGGAAGAGAGAGAGAAAAGAAGAGAATAAGGAGGAGAAGGAGAGAGAGAGTCTGTGGTGTTGAGATGATCACACTTCCCAAGCCAACCTCTCTGCTTGTTAAGGGTCAGCAGCATAGGCAGACGGCTAGGTAAGAACTTAAAGAGCTTCAAACAGTTTTGTCATTGTTTCTCGGGATTAAACTTTGTCTCCTTTTCCTGACAAGTTATTAGGAATGATACCGAACCTTACAACACTCTCTCTGAGACTAAATCAACTTTTAATAAAATAATCTTAGGGTTTTTTACTAAGCACACTTGCTTTTTCGAATACTGCTGCTAAGTCATTCTTTTCTTTTAAATCATGATACACCTACAGTAACATATCACATTTTTCTCTCTTAGGCAAAAGGTAATTTACATTAACTCCTTACCAAGCTGAAGCCTGCCGCAAGCATTACCGAAATAACATCCATCATTAGATGCCATCTGAAATGCTTGTCTTTCATCATTAGCATTAAAAAGCTCCAGAATGCATTATTAGAGTAATTTCTTAACTATCATACAAATACTGGCTTCTATGCTCGGATTTACCAAAGTTGACAATTTTCATATTTTCCACATCAATCTTCTATTTCTAGGAGACTGTATAAACTAAAGGGAGATAACCAGGCTATTTGCAGCATGGGTGTAATGCAGACTGAAGGATTGGCGGGGGAAATATGAATTCTCTGTATCCATATTAAAAAAAAAAATCAGAGAGCTTTTTACAGAAACAGGCATACATCTCTTATTTTGACTTTTTTCTACGGTACTAAATAAAACAGCTCAGTGACTTAAACTATTGGAATTTGGAGTGTGACATTTCTGTATGGACACGTCTACTTAGTTTTTTGTGTTGAAGGATTTTTTTACAATCTAACAAGGAAAGGCTTGGTCCCCAGTGGTTTCTATATAAATACCGTCAATATTTAAGGCTTCCTGATTCATGGACCGTGTGATACGCCTCCACTTTTGGCTGATCTAGCATTTTTACCTGTACCGGTACTCTGGTGGAAACTCATGAGCATCAAGATTTTGGTTCGGTTTCAGAAAAGGCTACTTTTAAGAGGTTGTTCTTGGCATTAGCTGCAATGGAAAGGCATGGGAGGGAAGGGGGGAAGCTGCATTTTAAAATACCGAATAATAACTGGTAACTTTAGGAAAGATTTGCATTTGTTGGTCTCTGACACCACCAGGGACAATCAGTGGGAAGAGACCTCATCAGGGACAACGACAGGATTTAAAAAGCAAAATTAAGAACCATATTGACACTTATAAAATTTAAAATCATAACTTGAGGTGAGAAAGTTTGTTCCAGTTCGGATGTTTGCTGCTCAGGGTAGAGGAGGTGTTGGGGCATGGTTTTGTAATTAGCAATCTGTTCCTGTATGGAAGAGACTGGGGTAACCGGTGTAGCCACGCAGTGCATCTGTGTGCGAGTATGACTGTAATTGCTAAAAGCTCCCATACCCACTCTCACAACAACTACTTACTGACTGCAGTTAATTAGCTCTAGATTTTAGTCTTTTTCTAATTAAAAGATCTAAAATTCGATTCTCTGTGAGGTACATAAACAAGCTGCCTTTGTTATAGAGGGGTTCCACTTTTCTGACTATATAGACCTTTATTAAATGCGGTAACAAAAGTATTTTGCTTTATGTGTTTATATATATTGTTGACTTGCATTGATGTGTTCTGGAGCCTGAATTGGTTCTACAAAATGAATTCTATTTTGGTACATACTTACTTTTTGCTACCAGGAACCTGATGAGAATAATAAAAATCAGGATCTGTGATACTCTGTTTCTCAGAGATTTTTTTTTCAGAGTATGTGCCAGTGTTGAGTGAGTTTTGATTTAAAATTATTGCTAAAATTGTTTGTCTGAAAACTCATTTGCTGAAAATAATTTTCTTACTTAAAAATTATAAGAATTGATGTGCGTTTGCTAAGTGTCTGATTAAAGATCACAAAGAAACTCATATTTTGCATCAGAAATAAGCAGATGGTGGACAGATGGTTTAAATTAATATTAATTAAAAATCTTAACTTAAATTGTTTACCCTGTAAATGCAAAGTTAGGAAGCCAGCTTTCAACTTTAGGGTTAATAACACTCCAAATCTATTTATTAAAAATTGCTCCAATGGGCATTCTTTCCAAGCTTTGATCGCAAAGATGGTAGCCTCAATAAAGAGCATGACAGTGGGTGAAAGCTGGAAAGGGAGAGCAATTCTAGGACTCTTAAAAAAGATCCTGCAGAGGTCGAGACTAAAAATTCCTGTCAGCCTCTCTGGTCTGGGAAGGAAGAAATGGTCAGAAAAGAAGACTGGGAATTCATGATCTTTTTTTCATGCCGGTTTCTTCATATATTTATTCTTTTAAAATTAATTTACATTGATGATTTGTTATGTTACAGTAAAGCAAACTCTAAGAGTACCTTAAAAACCTTCACAGGCTGTTGACAAAAAAAAGGGGGTCTAATTCTGTCTTGATTTATCCCTTGTGTTTCCTTACTGGTTCGCTGGGATTGCAGTGGATGTAATCGGGGGGGGGGGGGTATTTTGGGAGGGTAATTGCAGAGGAAGTCCACAGCACACCCAGATTTACCATAGAGCATGGTGTGTGTATATACAAGTCAGAATATGGAATAACTATTATAATTCAAATACCACTATATGGTAACCATGGATACTTGTTGACATTTTTAGTGGTAGTGACTACTTTATCTCAGGACATCTGTCACAGAGCCAAATTTGGTCCTCAGTTAAGCATGTAGTGTTCCCATTAAAATCAAAGGATATTTGTCCCTTTAGTGAGACAGAATTAGACTGTAAGTGCTGGAAGCTTTACTATTTTCCCGAGTTTATAACTGGGATATTTCACAGAGGGCGTGTACATTTTGATGGGTACCCTTTTTCCCTAATGCACCTCTCCATTAAGTTAAGAATCAAGATCTCTAAATTTAGACATAACATGGGAATCATCTATAAAGAGTTAAGATTTAATTGAGTTTTGGGAGCGTTAGCATTTTGATTCATGATAGTTCACCAAAATGCTCTTCTTCAGTAGTTGACTTAAAGTTTAGGGAGAAATTGCAGGATTTTTCTGGCATGGGCAACTTGAAAAAGCATCAAACGTGATGCAATCCTGTTCCTCCGTCCAGGCAGCTGAAGGTATGGCTGTGTCACCTCACTGAGTACCTCGGGAAGGGTAAGAAGTTGCCGGTGCACTCTGGCACAATGGATGATAGCGCTAGGACAGTGTCTAACCCAAAATGGCACCCATGTTAAAAATGGTATCTTACTCCATTGTAACCTATGGCTTCAAAATCAAATCTCGAGGTAGTCATGTTACGGATACCAAGCACATTCTTAACAAAAAGTTAGCACAACTTCAGGAAAAAAGCAGGTGTGAGAGGGGCTTTAAATGTTGGGGGTTTGCAGTGTGCAGTTAAAGCCGTAACTGGCAGATCTCGAGTTTCTGTGTCACCTGCTTGAAAAAAAGCTGCCTAGGTGGCATGTTTTCCACTCTGGCCCCTGCCTTCACTTTCCTCCATGTGGGTGAAATGTGTGTGTTTCTCCCTTTCTGCTGGTAAAAACCTACAATTTTCAAATGCTGCTATGACTCCACATTGTATTTTCATGAATTATATCAGAGTAGTAAATTATTTATTTCAGAGTGCCACAATAGCAGAGATCACACCCTGCTGTTGGCAAACCTGGTAGATCAGTCTACATGGAAATGGCTTCACACTGATTTTAGAAGAGCCATAAAAGTGTACACAGGTGGAATCTGCATCCTGACAAAGAGAATCTAAATAAAACTTGTTACATCTTCCTTTTTTCTTTTTTTTTTTTTTTGCTTTGCAGATTTCTTCACAGATCTTTGCTTTGGGGATTTTCTGCGTGCTTTTTTTCCAGACATTGGCTTGTTTTCAGTTATTACTTCTGAAGTGTCACCAGATTATGAAAGTGCACGTGTCTCTATTTTTTTCTTTTCTTCTATTTAGGTAGATATATTACTTTTATCATGGACCCATTTCAATATGTCTATGTCATCCGAAATAGCAAGCAACTTGAATTTCATGAATTTGCTGATAAAATGGCTTCCAAAACTTTCGACTACCCAGCCTTGTCGAAAGGAAAATTCCCCGATCTCAAGGAAAACCTGCACAGAATCTACCAGTATCTACAAGGCAAACCTTTGGATATCATTTCTGACCACATGATGAAAAATCTCCAGGATGTATTTGAATGGAAATGCTCACAAGCAACAGATTGGGAAACAGAAAAAATGTACAAATTCTGCTGCTCTGTAATGTTTGAAGCCAGTTTTGTAACACTATATGGAAGAGTTCCTGCTGCAGATGGCCACAAAGTTATTAGTGAAATCAGAGACAAATTTATCAAGTTTGATGCCAGCTTTCCCTATTTAGCTGCAAACATACCAATTGAGTTGCTAGGAGCTACCAAGAAGGTTCGGAAGGAGCTTATACATCATTTTTTACTTCAGAACATGACAAAATGGCTGGGAGGGTCAAAAGTGGTCCAAGCCAGACAAGATATATTTGAGAAATATGAGCTGCTTGGAGATTATGACAAAGCAGGTAGGAAACTTATGAATGATTGCTTGTCTAAAATAAAATAATTTACTATAGACCTTTGAAATAAAAAGGCAAAATGGCGACCTTGAAATTTTTTTATGTTCTTTCTAATTGGCTAATGATAAAATGTTTTACTCTGAAACAACCCTCTATGATAATTGATTTTTTTTTTGTGCTGAGGTGGTAAAACAAGATACTTAATGGTGATAATGAGAAAGATTATAACTGAGCTGCATTTCCTCCCCTTATTCCCCCCACCCCCCCGACATTACATTTCAAACTATTCTCATTAAGCAGAAAATTAGACTTCAGAAGCCTATTGGTCCTCATTAGCATTCACTGATCCTTGGCTGGGTCTGTGTCCTAACATCTTTTAATTAGCACACTGCAAATCTAATCAGTGTAATAAACGCTATTAATCTTCCTTTTCACTTATTTTCTCCCAGCACATCATTTTGCCTTCCTGTGGGCCTCTGTGGGAAACACGATTCCAGCTACATTCTGGGCCATGTATTATCTTCTGCGGCACCCAGAAGCTCTTGCAGCAGTGCGTGACGAGATTGACCATTTGCTGCAGTCAACAGGTCAAAAGAGAGGGCCCACGTATAACATCCACCTCACCAGAGAACAATTGGACAACCTGGTCTACCTAGGTAATTTATTTTTATCTGTTAGGAAGAAAAGAGGGGCTCTCCCGGCAAACTCGGTTTATCACTCATTTCTGTTTACTGAGAAGGTGGAGGACACAGCTGCCTAATTGACATAATAACACCCATTTACATCAATTATAAATTATGTAGTTTATAGCTGTAGATACTCTCATTGCATGTAAACATTAAAGCCTAGGTAATTAACTATGCAAGGTATGCAAAAGGCTAAATCGAAGCTTTGCAATTATTTGAAAAAAAGTTGATGCCTATTAAGTTGTTTGATTCTGAGCATCTGCCGAAGTGTTAATGCATTTCAAATACTTCTGTATGGGACTGCCAAGAAAGACCCTTTTCGGAAATTAAAGTGGGATAATGTATTTAAACTGCAAATGTAATTTTTTTCACCAGCAGCTTCTTTCTTTTTCTCTCTTTAACAAAACAAAAAGACTTCTAAAGCGGGCTTCAGTTGAGCAATGCCTCTGAACAAAATATAAGAAGGTAAAGCTTTACAGAGTAGAAATGGAGTTTCCAGTATTGAAAAAAGTACCTCGATTCAAAATAAGGGAGCTCTAAGTGAGATATGGATCTTCCGATTATAGATCAGTGTTTCAGAGGGAGACTTTTGCCAGTTGCCGTTAGAAGCCATTTGATCCAGGAGCTGGATAGGCCTTCAGAGCATCAGCTGATGGTTTCACTTCATTTGCTAGTGCACAGGCACTGGCAAGATAAATGCTAAAATTAGCCCAAGGGAGGAGAGAGGGTGTAGAGGGTAGGAACCTAACCTTTAAGCATCTGAAAGGCTCCATAGGTAGTGTTAGCAGGATAGACAACAGCTGAATAAAAGCATAAAGGTTCAATATTCCTCTATTTTTGAATATTGAAACTATCAAGAGATAGATTATTTTGTATTTGGAGACAGAGATGGGAATGGCAAGAAAAAGAAAAAAAAAAAACAAAGCACCCCAGAAGTGTAGGAATAAGGAAAATAAAAGCATGTACTTCACTAAAACCATCTGGTCCAAAAGGGTATGAACAGTTTAAAACATTAACTGTGTCATTCCTCTGCTGCTCCTTGAAATCTTGAAGTACCTTGGTAACATTTGATTTATGTGTTGAGAGGAAAGTGCCACATCCTACTTTGTAGTATTCTTGTAACACTTTTGTTAAATTTTATAATCGCGTTAAACATAATGTGGTAGAAGCTAGATTTCAATTCTTCTGGCACTTAAGTCATAAAGGGCTGGATACTGTCCCATAAAATAATAATATAGAAAAAAAATCTGTACCATAAGAGAATTAAAGTCATGCTTCAGTGGAAAGAGAAAAGGGATGTTTTGTTAATAAATGTGTAGGAGGGACAAAGGTCCCAATTTGCATTGCTTGCACACCAAAAATCTCCACATTGCAGGAAGGCTGTGGGCCAGCACTGCCTTTGCCCTTGCAGCTCGCTGACCCCAGCCTCCGAGACTGAGCTTCTCCTCTTTCCTCTCACTCCCTGTGCCAACCCAGAGCACAGAAAACCAGGATTTGTGTCCCTGCTCCCGAGTAAGGCAGACCAGGTGGGATTCTTGTATGTTCATCACCTTGTCATCTCATTCTCCTGTTTTAAGCACTCTGATTCTCCGTCCTCTTTTTGGCCTACTATAACAAGAGCCTTTTTTTGGATTCCTCATGCTATGGAGAACAAGCAGGAATTGCTAAAAAGCCTTTCTCAGGAAGCAGCGTTGTTATTATGGTCAGATTCTTTGGGTCTAGGGAACAACATGGCCTGATTTACTTCTAAATTCAAAGCACAGGTATGTGATTTTTTATTAAAAAAAAAAAAAAGCTTTCAACCCATAGCAAAACTAGCAAATTCTGGCTCTGATTATTTTTTTCCAGTGGCATTTCTGGGGCAGCACACTTTGTTTTGTCTACGTCAGACTTTTCCCAAAACCCAACCGCGCCTATTTGTGTGCACAGTAACATACATTATTAGTCGTTATGGCTCACAACGGAGCTCTAATATGGTAAACGACACATGAGAACGGTCTGTCGGTTTTTATGGTTATAACGGAAATGCAAAGGGTAAAGCAGAGATATACTTAGTGCATGTTTAATGCTAGGCATGTTTAGTCAGTTCGTTTGTTTAATATTAGTCCATTCATTTATATGGTGAAGTATTCTTCCCCCAGGTCATTGCTGAATCCCAGATATTTCCTGTGAAAAGAGCACAGCTTGAAAAATTGTGTCGTACACAGGAAAGGGCAGGAACCCCAAACCAGCTAATACGGAACGCGTAGTTGTAACACAAATGCTAAGCATTAAAATCATTGGTTGGATTGAGAGAAATATATATATTTTCCTGGAATGGGCTGGGCAGTACCATTTAGTTCTTAGTAAGATGCAAATATACTTGTTTCAGATCATCGTTTGTGTTGGCACACCGTGATGCCTGTGGGTAAATGACCCCCCCCAAATATTTGCATACTCGATAGCTATTTTCCTACAATACACTCTAATAATTATAGTACCCTATTACCTGCTATGTGTTAGTGTAAAATTAACAATCCATTATGCACAATAAGTTTTATAAAACATTTACAGATAGAGATCATGTTTAATTAAAATTAACTTGCCTACGAAAGCCAAATGCACTTATGATTCGCAATGACCTTTTATTACCTGCAGTCCCTTGTTTTGGCTGGATGATTGACAGCTTGCTGTTTGGCTACCATGTTGTATTTCAGCTGACAAGACTTTTCATTTTAACTCAATTTGCCTGCCTATCACAAGCTGGTGGCAGGCCAGGCTCAAGTCACCCAGCTTTGCCTCAGCAGCTTGCTCTATTTCTCATTAGTACGCATTTATTCAGTGGAAATTGGAAGACAAATGCTTGAAGGCATGTGAACTAAGTATAGCAAATTAGGGTTTAAAGACTGAATATTTATAAGTATATTGAAACAGTTTTAAAAAAAAAAATCTAGAATGAATTGGAAGCTGAGCGCTAGCTTTAGTATAAGAGAAACGAAGAGAGAAGTGGGAGGATTCTAAGAATAACAATACTATGAGATATCTCTATCTCTATCTCTATCTCCCCACCCCCCCGAAAATATGTAAAATCTCTCTGACAACACCTTATCAAACAACAGCCTGGCTTCTTTATGTAGCGCTCGCACAGTGAAGTTTAGCATCTCGTGTGTAAGAAGGGGGGAAAAAATGAGGGTCATGTTCATTTGCTGCTTGGTTATCCCTTGGTATGCTTTAAATTGCCTTGTTTGTTCGGCACAAGCACAGAAACAGATGTTGCTCTACCGTGCTGGATAATTTACTGTACTTCACGGTGCAGAATGGAAGGCCTCCCAAGCTACCCAGCTGGTCTGTCAGCAGCGATGGCTGGTGTCTGCTGAACTATGACAACTGCAAGTAAAGGCTGCAGTTTTATTGTGCAGTTGTCGTGCCTCTCAATGTATAGCTCCAGCATTTGTGGAAAGCTGACTGTCTATTTTTTTAATGTGAGCCTGCAAAGCCATATAAGCTCCATTCTCCTTTGTTGATCATAATGTGACTCATTACTTTTGTCATCTAATGATTATCGGCATGATCGCTCAGAGCGAGAGCCAAGCTCGCCTTCCACACATAACTGGTACTGGAAGGTAAAACAGATTTGTCATTTACGATCTGACCGCTAAGCCACACTTTGTGCTCCATTATTGTGATTAACTTCTGCATAAGATATGCTGCCCAATTGTCATCTGGGATCCGGCAGCGGGCAGGGACTGCCGTGCTTTCTGGGAGGATGTCCGCCGATAGGATGTGACCGCATCGCTTGGGCGGTTAAATGTAAACCTGCTATTTCACAGTGGCGCTTTAATAATTATTTTTCTTTTGTTTTTTTCCTCTCTGTCCCCCTTCCTCATTTGATTTCTGCTGTCACTACGTATGTCGCCACCGTTTCCAAATGATGGACTGGCGCGGAGTTACCACCTTCATTTTCCGCAGGTTGAAGACCGTCTGGGAGCGGAGGCTGGACCCTTTCTTTGTACCGCATAAAGTTTTGTTGCCACAGCGCTGCCAGTTGAAATCTATCGTGTCAGGTGCCTTGTGGCTATCCGCAGTAGAGGCCATCTTCTGGAACCAGAGTTCTTTTCTGGCTTCGTCACCAACAAGCCGATTTGACTCTGCCTGATTATAGTAACGAAGGCAGTCCAAAAGAATATGCACAGACTCACTGTACGTCACATTGAATCACAGCGCTGGCCACACAAAGCTGACCGCAGCCTCATTTCTTTAGACAAATGCATGCTTAAGGAAAAACCTCCTGCAAGAAAGCATCCAGGGCCACTTTATTTGCTATGCATGCTGCACCAGATTTAATTTTTAGTGAAAGAACGTTTGTTGTTATTTTTTTTCAGAGGCATCTACACTGGGTAGCTACTGTCTCTAATAAACTAACCTTTTGGGTGCAGCAGTTACAGTGCCTTGGTGAACACTTAGAGAAGGCTAATTTGATATCACAGAACATAAATGTAGACACAAATGGATTATTATGTGCAAACGAAACCCTATTTTAGGCTATTTTTCACACTGATGATTAGAAGGAATCAAGTCACATATAACAGCGCCCATACACGCTGGTGGAAAAATAGTCAGTTTTGATTACAAAGTGAGAGATGCAGCCCTAGACAGGGGCTACATGCTGATATACATGCTATCAGAATGATTTATGCAAATTATGCATATTATTCCCAAAGGAATTCCTCCTCAAACTGCCAGGATAAATTGCCGGAAATTAGCCATAAAATCTGTCGTGCTAGGAGCAAAAGGTGAAGGCCACTGGGAAAGCAAGGACATTCAGCTTCTGGAGCCTTCCAGGATGTGATGGTGGAGACAGAAATCTTGCTTTCCCTAAGCCTGAAATGGCTATGTTTTGTTTTCTCTTGGCCAATTAAAAGTGTCTTTCTCTCTCAAAATTACCAGGCAAATAATGAATTGCTTTCATTCACTCTGACCATAACAGACACTATCATTTGGCAGCGTAGCGCATTGAAAAGAAAATAAATAAATTTAAAAATCCTCAGAATGACTATGGAATTAACAAGTGAAATGATTTTTTCTAACATATAGTCCTGCCATTACCTCCAACAGCTTTCAAAAGGCAAGCTAAACAGCTCCGTGGATGCTTTTGCTGGTATTTGCTTGCAACCTCCAAAATATATGTAAATGTGTAAAGCGTTCGCATCTTTTGATTGCGTTGTTTTCAACGTGAAGCCTGAATAATGACTTTCCACCCAAAACTCAGTGCTGCCTACAGCCGACAGGATTTCTTAGCACCATCAGTGAGAATCACATCGGGAGGTTCGGTGTCGTGGCTCTCCGCCCCAGCCCTGTGGGGTTGTTTATTGCCTCCTCCTGGCCTCTGCTTTATGTTTGGTTTGTGGGTTTTTTTTTTTCCTTTAGCCTGCCCTACTAAACCTGTCGAGATTCAGCAGCTGTAGCCATGTATAACTTCCAATCATCTCCCATATTTCTGACGCTTCCCCCCCCTCCGCTTTTGTTTAATCGCAGAGAGTGCCTTAAACGAGAGTTTACGAATGTGCTCGTCCTCCATGAACATTCGCATCAGCCAGGAGGATTTTGTTCTCAAGCTTGAAGGGAATCAAGAAGTCGGTTTGAGGAAAGGCGACTGGATAGCCCTTTACCCGCAGATTTTGCACATGGACCCTGAGGTCTATGAAGATCCTAAGGTAAACATTCAGCTGGTGCTACTCTTCCTACTCCAGGCGCATCGCAGCAGCCCAGCCTTTTGTGATCTGTGGTTTTTTTTTTTTTTTACTGCTGTTCCTTCTTGTGGAACAAATCTTCCTACTTTCAGATGTATTTTCTAGGGCCCTATAGGTCAAAGGATTCATGGCCTGAAGAGAGAAATATGGTGATGAGACTGACTGCAACTGCTTTCAAAGGAATTGACAATTGCACATTGACTACCATAAACTTTAGGCTAAATGTGGGTTTTGTTTGGCAGTGGATCATTTGATACCCAAGGAGGGCTGAATAATAGAAGGTGGTTTAAATAGCAAATAATGTGGGCCATTTAGCTAAGTGCCCCCAAAGCATCATTGACTCTCTGAAGCCCTATAATAGCAATGTCTTACTTGAGCCTTATGCTTTTTCACCTCCCTTCATAGGGATTCACCCCTTCTTGATCAATTAGTAGAGTGTTGTGAACTTGAGACTGTAAAGCTGTTGCTTTGCAGCGAAGCTCGGAGGGTAATTGTGTCATCTCCTTGTATTTTTCTCTGACGCTTGAGTTAATGAATATCAAAGACTCGAAATTAATCCACCCTGCCTCAGCCTTAATACAGCTTCAGAAATTCACCACCTGCATGCAAATTGAATAGTCCTCGTCTCGGCTAGGTTGCTCCCCCGGATTGCTGTCCCCAGCCCAGGGTGCCATGGAGGAAGAGCGAGGGTGCACGCTGAGGCTGCTAAATGCCTCCTCTGCCTGAGAGGCAAGAGCTCATAGCTGATCCATTCCTCATCCCCGTTTTCCTAAGCAAATGGCAGTCTCCCAGCCATGCTGATTTTCATCCTTGGCGTTTGAGCCAAAGAAGAAGGGAACTGGATTTTTTTACATGCTTATAGAAAACCCATGTTAGAGGCATTCTCCCTGAGGCTCTCCCTTTTGGGAATTCAAGGATATGATGTTGCAGAGGAAAGATGAGATTCAAGTGCCTTGTTGGTGTGGGACAGCATCTTGCTGTGCAGGAGCTCGACCAGCCTCGGTGAGAGGAGGTGTGGACCGTGTCGGAGTTAGCAGAAGAAAGGTATAGTCACCGGGATGAACACTGGAGCCATGAAAATGGAAATGACCTCCAGGAGGGCTCTGCTGGCTGTCCCCACCCAAAAATGAAGACAAAGCCCGCTGAGAAAATTAGGGTTTTAAAAAATAATCCATAATTGGCAAATAGTTGATTAATATTTCTATCCTTAAATAGTAACAACTAACAAATAAGCTTTTTCTCGTTTTATTCTTAACACTTTATTTTGGAGAACATTATTGATTTGTCAAAAGTCCATCTGTTTGTTTAGGTCCTAGACCAAAAGCATCAGTGTGGAAACTGATCCCCTCCCTTATCCAATAATTGCCGGAATATATTACCATATTTCCATTGCTTGAATATATCTGCTTAGTATCAGCTCTGCTCAGCTTTCACAGTACAGCTTTAGTTCATATATTTTATCTTTTTGATAGTGAATGAGCAATCCACACATTGCAGTACATTGATTTCAGCACATGGGCCCTCTTGAAAAGTGGGGAAATCACTGTTCTGTTTGGTTCTTAAAATATGCAGTGTGCTTTCAACAATAACTACTGAGGATCAGATAGAGATGGAGAATGAATTTTTTGAAAGGTGCAGTCTTGAGCTTGTCATGTATTTAGGGAAAACTTTCCTGGGAAAACAGGCAGCTTGACAAGATAATTTTGTAGCAATGCTTTTCTCCTGGATACATAAATTTAAGTTCAAGCTATCTTTTGCTTTGGCACCATATTGTATAAGTGTAAGCATATATTGTTGACCTCTTTCTCCACTCATCAAAGTCTAAATAAATGAGTCAGTTTTCTATAAAGTGGATAAGTGAACCCCTAAGTCCTAACTCAGCTAGTTATAGAGCTCAGTAAATGGACTCTGCAAATCCCATAGAGTGAAACATCAGGAAACCCTGCAGAAAACCTACATGGTGCCTTCCCAAACCAAGCTAAATATGAGATGTGGCAGAGAGAGACTTACATCAATCACAGGAGATTGCTCAATTTGCATAATACTCTTAGCAGGCCGTCCACACAGAACTTCCTCGCCTGTTCTTGCTCAGTGTCTTCACATTTTCCTTGCCATGAACCACCCTGTCTCTTCCAAGGAGGCCTTGTGCATGGCTGAAAGTTCCTTTATTGTCAAAAATTAGTCTTTTTTTAGCCAGTGAACTAGCTTTTAAGGAAACACTATCCAACCCAAGGGGCTTCAACAGCACAAGCCTGAGTTTCATGTCACTGTCATTGGCTCCATTCCTGTCTCATACTCATTTTCTGCTTTCCCAATTCCTTAGACACCAATTTATTTTTTGTTAAAAGCAATTACAACTCTCAGATGGCTCTTAAGATGACAAAGAAAGCATAAGGTTTGACCCAGTATGTCTATGTGTACAATACCACAGTTCTTAATTGCTCCAGACACCAGGAGTGCACCTTGTGGAAATGTTCCAACAAAGTGAAGAGCTCTGGGTTGGGTTGGGTTGTTTTTTTAAGCTATTGCAGTTCATACTTAGCAGCGCTTTTTTAGACCAGCAGGCTTTACATTTCAGGAAGTGAATCTTTTTTAAGGAAGAAAGGGTATTCTGGGCTTTCACTTGTTACTGTGCTTCTTCAAATGAAGCAATAACTTACCAGGAAAAAAAAAAATGGCATGCTTCCTTTTGGCTGGGGTGTTCAAAGCGACTAAAAAGAATTACTTGTCAGTGGAAACACACATATAATCACCTTTATCTTTGTGGAAAATCCAGGCCTCTGCCATTTAGAGAAACAAGCTCATGTTCTTCAACACCCAAAGTTACATCCCCTCCAGTGCACCTTGTACTTGTTTCCTTTCTCATAGACCACCTCCCCAGCCACTGTTTTTTCTCAACAGCAAGACCTGCAGTGCATGGTTTTCAGAGCCTTTAATCTAACGGGTAGATCAGTATCAGTGTATTTTTCATTGTGGTGTGGGTTTTTTTAATCAGTTGAGGTTGGTTTCTGTCTGACTGACTTGTTCCCAGCCAGCTCCAAATGGCTGCCGCTATAGCAGATGTATGCAAAGCAGGACAAATGCTAATGAGTGACCATAAGCAAGAAGTGTCTGTCATTTTTATTCAAAGCATGCAGGAGGATTTTGTAAGTGGTTAATTTGCCGTTGACTGAGTGAGGATGCCAGATCTCCTTCATTCAAAAACATGAATTATCTCTAAACAGGAATCCTGTTACTGGGAAATAGTCAGAAAGATGTTCAATTTATGGAACGTAGGTTACAAGCGCAACCTCAAGCCTTACTTGAAAGCACCTTCTTTATAATGGTCAATCACTGGCGGTTGTCCTGCTTTGCACACAGCTTCCGGAGCAAAACATTTGAAGGTCAGATGTGGCAAATTAAGCAGCAACCATCTCCAACCGAAGGGAAAATTGACTGCAAAGCATCGGGTCTGGTTTTCGAATAATCTGCACCAGTGGGTGCAAAAGAAGGATGGATTTTGCTCTAGCTTGCAAGAGTAAGATCAGTGCAATGCATTAATTTATTCATAGGCATTTGCAGAATTTGGCAGATTGTCCTTATTCATGATGTATGTACCACACTGAGCGCATATGATACTTTACAAGAAAATTGTCCTTCCACTAAGGTTCATTGTCCCTGCTACAAAGCGGTCAAAATCTAATTACAATCAATATAGGCCAGACGTTCAGTGGATGAGACGTAGAAGTTGAAGGAGCTTGATGTAAAAGGGCTAAGCTAAGTAAGTGGATTTAAGGAGTGTTCTTTGCAGGGAAGATAATGTGAGTTAATGAAACTTGAGGGAACCAACTAAAAAGGAGAAGCTGTCAGCTCCTTGTCTTTCTCTTTATCTTATTTTCTGGGTTTCAGAAGTGTTACCGTTGTACAAACAAAGCAACTCATGTAACTGCCTTGTTACATATCATGCGCACTCTCTCTTTATCTTTTATTTTCAGGAGTATAAGTTTGATCGATACATAGAGAATGGCAAGAAGAAAACCACATTCTACAAGGCAGGAAGAAAACTGAAGTATTTCCTAATGCCCTTTGGCTCTGGGATCAGCATGTGTCCAGGGAGGTTCCTCGCAATGAATGAGATGAAGATGTTTCTTTTCATACTATTGGCTCATTTCAATGTAGAACTAGTGGAAAACAAAGCTGTCAGACTTGATAACAGTCGTATGGGCCTTGGTATCCTCCTGCCAGACGCTGATATTGCCTTTCGTTACAAGCTAAGGTCCTTAAAGTGAGCGGCTGCCTATATGCCTTCTACTAATCTCCATGTTTGCCCCGTTTCATCACTCAGCTTGGTATTTTTGGAAACATTTGCTTTTCCCTCTCTGCTTTTACCTCGTTCCTATTTGTTTCTAAGGAGAAAAGCCCTTGGGTTGGAGGTAGATACCAGATGCAGGGACATGCAACCTCAATTTGTCCTGCCTGAGTTGTGAGTAGTGAGGTGAGATGACAAGAGTTTGGCCAAGTAAATAGCCCAACGTCCCGACAAGATGGACCCCATACTCTTGGCCATGAGTTGAGTAGCATTTACGGGGGGGGTCACATCAGGCTAAATTGAGGCCATTTATATGGAAAACGGGCTCAGCAGCCCTCTGTCACAGGGGTTCCCCCTTGTTAGGTTGGGAGGTCCCATACACCCACCATCTGGAGGCATCTCTGCATCTGCTCATAGAAGCATAATAGCAAGAAAGGGGGAACTTAATTCTAGGGGTGAAAGAATTTTCAGTGATTATTATTCTAACTTTTTATTTACTCTGTTCCCTTCATGGTCTTGAGTGTCTTAGCCCTTATTTGGGAGATGTGATGGAAGCTGTGTGGGGTGGTGGGAGATGATTTGCAAGAATGTCTTACTGGCAACACATTTCTGAATTTCTGACTTCAGTTTTATGTACTGAGGGTGAATGCTTTGCTTTTCTTCTTTTTGTTTTTTTTTTAGTGCAATGCAAAGAACTTAGAATCTGTGATTTTTTCCTGCAGTCATTTAAAGTCAGAAGGGAGGTTCTGTTGATTTTAATAGGCTCTGGATCAACCTAGATTATCTATTTTGGCTTTTGAACCAAAAAAGTATATTCTTCAGGGAGAAAATATATAAGCCTGTTTGAAATTATTCTATCATCTCAAAAATTACCTTCTGTTTGTCTCACTGTTTTCCTAGTAACATGTCCGTATGTTTATTTTGACCATTTCTTGTGTTTGTTCATTTCTCCAAAAAGGCAAAAGAAGCAGAGAGCTTCAAGGGCAAGTGTGGTATCTAAAACTACTTTTTAATAGTGTTTTACTGTGCCTAAGTTATGCATAGGCAGAGTAGTGTGACCTGTGTTTGGAAACAGACTTGTCCATCTACAAATTGGAAAATAGGCTCTTCCCTGGGGCCAAAATTTGAACAAGTGAGAACCCTGGGCAGCCACAGAAGTTATCTGTATACTGGCTGCCCAACCTGCTTCACTGAGTGACCAGCTCTTGCTTCAAAAATTAATTTCCTAGAGCATGGGATCTGAGATTTTTAGACCCTGTCTCTCTTCCCAGCCATCACTTCAGAGTCTGATGAGGATTCTCGTGGCTGTTCAGTCTCAATTTGCCAAGACGATAATTGTGATGGGAGAGTAGCCATGTCTGTGGGCCTTGCCTTGTGTTCCCAAAAAACATCTCTCTTTGGGATGTGCCAGCGTAAGTCTTTTAAAATCAGAAATTTTTACTCATCTCTAAAGCACTTGATGGCCTATGGATGGAAACTGCTACGTACATACTAAGGATTAGAATTATTTATTGTTATTTGTGTAGAAGCCTGTTTAGTTATTCATGTAAAGCACATACCCTAAATAATCATCAGCATCAGTAGAAAGGCTTTCAGAGATTGGCACAGCCACATTCCAAATCCTCCAAGGAGAAAATTGTGGGTTTGTGAGATATATTGGATAAACATTTTCTCTTCATATATAATATCAATAATGCCTACAGTGTTGGAGTACACTTACATTAAATGGGCTTTGCAGTTGATTAAATGCTTTAACTTTGCTTCAACATTTAATCAACAGCAAAAGCGATTATTGCTTTGTGCCACAGAATAAAATTTGTTTTTATGGAGAGATTCTTGTACTCAAGTAACTTACTGCTGTAGTTACTCTGTAGGAGCTATTCGGTACTCAGCCATAGCTCACAATCCAGTTTGGACATTAGAGCCTGGTTTATTGAGAGAGGAAACGTTGATATCATTATACTGTTGACTGTATTCCATTATTGCTTAAATGTAAGCTGTAAAATGTCTCATGCCACAGTTATGATAAATCTTTCTTTGGCATCCAACTTCGAAACAAACCTGAAGCAACTGTGAAAATAGCGGTAGGTATTTTTTTTAAACAGAAGTCTTCTTATGATTCTATTCTATTTTTAGGATTTTGAATTAGAATATTACGGGCTGCTGCATAATTTGGTAGGACATAATAGGACTGTGCCAAAAGTACATGCAAATCATTAGTAATTTCATATTAATTGCTGATCAGTTTGTATAGAATCATAGAATCATTTAGGTTGGAAAAGACCTTTAAGATCATCGAGTCCACGCGTTAACCCAGTACTCCCGCGTCGCCCAGTAAACCA